CCTTGTATGTGCTCAGGTTTTTCATTGGGAAAGGGGGGCTGAGAACCAACCAAACAGTACAAATAAAAACTTGGATGAAAGTGAAAAACACTACAGTCATTCTTTGTTGTGGAGGCCCAAACCATTTCATGACATTACTACCTGGAAGTGTAGCTTTAAAGGCCATTAAAACCACTATAGTTTTGCCAAGAACACAGGAGATACAGAGAACAAAGATTATTCCAAAGGCTGTGTGTCTCAGCATGCAGGACCACTCAGAGGGAGCTCCGATGAAAGTTAATGAACATAAGAAACACAGAGTCAGAGAGAAGAGCAACAAGAAGCTCAGCTCAGAGTTGTTGGCTTTAACAACAGGAGTTGTTCTGTGACAAAAGAAAATAACTGCTGTTATGATGGACAGAGACACGCCCAAACCAGAAAATGTAGACAAGATGATTGCCAGGACTTCATCAAAAGACAGAAACTCAACAGGTTTGGGCAAACAAGCATCTCTTTTCGCATTTGACCAGTGTTCATCAGAACATGGGAAGCAATCTGGAGAATCTAAGGAAATAAAACAAAAAAGGACAATTATTAATAAAATATATCATAATCCAGATTAGGATAAAAAATAATGACACCTGTTGTATTACTGATCTCTCCTTCAGGACAAGGTATACAGTCATAGCAGCAGATGGGTTTTCCTTTCTGCAACACTTTACGAGTTCCTGGAGAACAACTTTCTGAGCACACTGACACTGGAACCTGACACAGAGTTGTGGAGAGGAAAAAAAAGCTTAAAATTTCTGCAGTTGCTTTTTATATTCTAATTTTTCATCACTATGTTTTTTACTTGTGTCCCACCCTCCACCCAGGTTATGCTCCTCTTGATTTGTAGCTCCTGGCCCTTTGGTAGTGATGCATCATAATATCCTACTGTTACCAGCTCAGTAATGCCACTCTCACTCTTCTTCCAGTTGACCAGCTCATAAAAAGCCACAGGATCCCCATTAGCATCAAATGACACAGGATAACCATTTTGTGAAAAGTTGACTTTTTTATGTTCAATTAAAACCTGTGAATTAGCAGATATTCAGAGGGGGAATCAACACCCAGTATAATTACTTAATTCAATTCAAAATTCAATTCAAAAATACTTTATTGATCCCAGAGGGAAATTAGGTAAATTTAAAAATTTGATTTTCACCAACCTGTTTGGACTCCAGTCTTATGTACTTGTCACATTTAGTAGTACCATCAGTTTTCTCACACACTGCATTGTGAATGGCATGAGCAATTGCATAAACAGCCTTGTACACCATGTTACTGATTCTCAGCTGAGATGTTTCAGTGTATGGACTTTTAAGCAGTTTTATATTTTCTGTTCCATCACAGACTTTCTTGTTTGTATCATTAACTAAATAAACAGAATGACGGAGACATTGATCAGTCATAAAACAAATAACACCTGTTACTCAACTCTTAATGTTTATGTAACTTAAAGTAAACGCGACGTCTTAAAATAATTTAAATTGTCTTGTTTGAGTCAAAGGTAACTGACCTTATGTGCAAATGTTTTTTTTTTCATTAATGCAATTTAGTACCATTTCACATATTTTCTTACATATTTGCTTGTTGTGGACATTTTATTTATAAAAATCCAATTTAGCAACATTAAAACAAACACTTTACTTCCATCACATACAATCTTACATAGATCATCATTTACCATAACCTAAAGGTACACACAGATTAATATTTAAAGACAGACAACACATATAACTTGACTTTAAGACACAAATGTAAATTTGTATTATTTTTGTTGTAAATACATTTGCAAGGCACTGGACAGCAAACCGTTTAAAAATAACAACAAAAGGAGAAAGAAATGTACAACCTACTTAGGCATGAATGGAAAATGATAATTTAATAAACCCTCACTGTTTTTCAAGCTGCAGTTGAATGCATCCTCCCAGAACTCATTAAGCACCGAGGAGGCAACTACATCAGATTGAGAGAGATCCAGCAGAAAGTCTCTGAGCCCTGGGATTACGGATTGCTGGATGGCAACTCCAATGGTTCCTGCACAGAAACTGAATCTTAAAAAGTTTGGGTCAGTTACCCAGCCCTCACTTCCTATCCACTGACGAGGTGGTGGAGGATCACGAGCCAACTCCTGTAACAGGACACTCATATCTCCAGCTGCTGTAAAAGCAACAACAACCATTGCGGTCGACCTGGAATAACATTATAATTTGCTCAACATACTACCATATTCATTATAGTATGTGACCTATTGTTAGAACAAGCAAAAAAATCTGTTTTAACACACCATTAAAACACAAACAGTATTCACATTTGTATGCAGGATGTTTATAATAATACAAGACTGTCAAGGAAAAATAAGGAGGCAGAAACCTACGAATGACATCCGCTACTCTCCTGATCTTAGTATGTGGATCAGTTCGAAAGAAAGATTCAGAGTACTCCACACAGATCCCCTCTCTGTGTACTGCTTTAAGAAATGATGCCATTCCATAATTTCCATAATCTGAGTCAGAATAAACAGCACCAATCCAAGTCCAACCAAAGTGTTTCACCAACTTGGCCAGAGCATCAGCTTGGAACTGATCACTGGGAATTGTTCTGAAAAATGTTGGGTACTGCTGCTTATCTGACAGGCAGGCACAAGTGGCAAAGTGGCTCACCTATACCAAACATAACAACATGATGTTCTACCACTAACAGATTGTCTTTAACAACTTGTAACAACAAATATGATTTGTTTTCAGTTTGTACAAACTGCAGATCACTTACCTGAGGGATGTTAAATGGTCCAATGATGCGTGCCATGCTGAGGGATGAAGTAGATCCAGAGTCTCCAACAACAGCCATCACCTTCCCATTTTGGGAACAGTTGCTGTTTTTGTAAAACATTGGGTCCTCACCATTTGATAACTGAAATGCCACATGGGCTGCCACAAGCCCAGAGGAACAAGTATCATAGATCTGATATCCGAGTTTGATGCCCGGCAGCAGCTCTGTGCTGTTGTTTATCTCCTTAATAGCAAATATCATTGTTCGAGAAAAGCGCAGGTCCCGAGCATTAAAGCTGCACAGATAAAAGGATGCTGACATTTGATGAAATTAGGAAACGTTCACAAGAAATACAGGTATTTGAGTAAATAAGCAAAGATGTTTTAGAACATACTGATGCTCCAAGACATTTGTAATATATTTTATACATAAATTGACTAAGTAATTGGCTTAAAAAATATAAAATTAAGAATTTATCTAAAATATGAGGTACAGGTACAATTTTTCTATATATATATATTTTTTTATTATTTCCTTTTACACTTAGAACACTTTTGTTCTCCTTATTGTTCATAAACTAGTAGTTCGTGGACACAACATGGGAATGTAAAGTCTCAAATTCTGCTCATTGCAAGACTTTTTCAATCTTGACTGCAAAATATACAGCAAATGAAAGTATTTCCATTTCTACGCATCACACATTCTATTCTGCCATTTAACTTTCTCACTAACCTTCCTGTGCACCTTGGAGGCTCAGGCTTGTTGGTGTAGTTATAAATCACTGCATATTGTGTGTAGTGTAAAGAGAAAGCACCTCCGACAACAAAGTCCCCACTCATTGAAAATGCTGGAAAGCGAGGTGTACCTTGTAGGTTACATTTCATCAATGAAGCTTCATTACTGACACCAGCAGCAGTAATAGGATCTATAGGCTCAATGTTTTGTTTCAGAATGTTTACTGACCCACCCAAGATCTCAAATGATAATAGCTTCAACAAACCCAAGACCAATCTCAAACATATAAAGACAATCCAGTTCTCCATTCCTCGTGTCTCAGTATTTGGGTGTAGGTTGGTTTTCACCTGTTTATAAACCTCATTTATCACTTACGTCAGTAGGTGCACCCTCCTTCATGCACTTTCCCAGTGGTCCTTGATCATCATGACTTTTCATTGCTTTGCAACTTTTTCACGTGTTTTTCTTTTTCTTTTCTTTCTTTTTTTTTTTTGTCACACACATAATAAAATTTTAAGATGAATTGAAAAATGGCAAGAAATCATGTTTTGCACTGTTGGATCAAAAGGAGGCTCTAAGTAGTTTTGAGTTCTGAGTAGGCATTTTATTGCAAACAAGTATTAAACTGAAATAGGCTGTTCATCATTGGAGACTTGACAATGACACCTATTTAGACACTGTTTTGATTTTTCTTTTAAATAATAGGTTCTGTGTTTTCTACAAGTTCAACGTGGTGTCCTGTTTGATTATTTTTTTAGAACTTAAGAGTTATAAGTGAGCATTTGGGTTCATCTAATTGCATGTGTGTGTTGCAGTGAGGGGTTATTCTGAAAACATTGGTGTATAATTATTCAAAAGGTAATTAGGGAAGTGTTTTTGTGATTTAAAATATTAGATATTAATTATAAGATATATTGATGTTTGGTCTATGTGTTGTTTTTAAATGACCTCTTTATTGCTCGTATTCAGTTATGCTGTTAGAGTGAAGACAGCTGATGATCTTTGACTTCCCAAACTGCTAACTTAGATTATAGAGTTCAGTTACTTTTACCACCTGTTGTTAGACAAGTAGGACAGGGTAAAGGAACTGTAGGGCCTGAGGAAAACAGGAGATTGCATGGTCGTATAACAGGAGGACATCACTTTGAAGGGTACTCTTTAAAAACCTGACTATTGTACTGAAATTCAGTTCATGCTACTGACAACTGTATGAAAGTACTTTGTATTTGGACTCCTTGCAGCAAGTAAAAGAGAGTTCAATCAGATCTGCTGTTTGTCTCTCCTTGTGTCTTGATAATTAATTTATCTAACAGGAAGTCAAAACATATTTATAAATAAGTTTCAGTTAAGATTTGTCAGATTAAAATAACTCATGACCCTTACCTACTTTAGAGGTGTATAGGTGGGCAATAATTGTCATTTACTGCTCCGAAAAATTACAGAAAATACTATTTTATTAATTTTATTGTGCAGCATGGTGAATCAGTTGGTAGAGCTGATGTCTCTCTGCAAGAAAGTCGCCTGGATCTCAGTTCTGGGACCTTTTTGGGTAGAGTTTGCATGTTTACTCTCTGCGTGCATGGGTTCACTCTGGGTGTCCCAGCTTCCTCGTAAAGACCAAAAGACAGACTGTTAGGTTAACTGGTAACTCTAAATTGTCCCTTGGTGTGAGTGAGAGCATGAATGGTTGTCTTTGTCTCCTTTGTCTTTGTGTAAGGCCCTGTGATGGACTTTCGACTTATCCAGGGTGTACCCCGCCCCTCGCACAGTGACCCCTGTCACCCTGAAAAGAAGAAGTGGGTATACTGTAGAAATTGGATGGATGGATGAATGTCTTGATAATATACAGGCAGACGGTAAATTTCAGTAGTTCTATGGGTATTAAACATGTCATTTGTAACAAACATTAGTAAAACATCATTACATGACTACAAAATAAGCTATACAGAAAGATGATAGTCCTAAATGATCAATTTAGCAAAAGATTGGGATTACAGAGGTTTCCCAAAATTAATAAGAATATAAAGGGGAGTATAATAATTACTATCACTTTTAATAAACGTTTTTACACACAGTTTCCAAAACTTTCCAACCAGAAAACACAGAATTTAAACACCTGTTTGTGTGCGGTTATGAGCATGTATGTGTAAGGGTCCAGTCTTACACTTCTTATAACAAGGTCATAAGAGTAATTTAATTAGCAAGGGATCACTTTTATTTTGGTAAACATCCCTCCAGTGCAAAATGAATGACACATAAGAAGTGACTCTCAGTCAGTGAATGTTGATTTAAACCATAATATGCGATCATTTATTTCACAAATCATACAAAAATCACTAGAGTACACCTGCTTGTGAACAATTAATTTCCTATAAAGTTTTGGGACTGTTGTGGAATACTTATTTTCTGTATCACCTTGACACTGACCACTTGTTCCTGTTCCTGAAGATATGAACACTTGTTCATATCTTGTGATATCCTT